AGCTGCTGCTCCTGTAAGGGCAGCACAACCATTATCTGTCCCTTCAACAAAACCTTCTAGTATCTGTACAAAGTGTCAAAAAGGGTGTCATTGGGAAAATGAGTGTAAATCCAAAACTGATGTGGAAGGCCAACCTATTCCAGGAAACTTCCAATGGCACTGGCCACAGCCCTGCCAAACAGTAGGGGCGCTGCGGCTCAGAGAGCTTCCCTGAGGTAGCATGGCAGGCTGCCAGTGACTCGGGGGCAGTGTGGCCCTGATTGTGCTTTGCTGATTTCTGTTTAAAAAATACTCTCACAGTAGACACTTTCAAATAACCAATATGACAACAACCAACCTGTACAACTTCTGAAAATTCAACATTAGGTTTTCACAAACTGGTAATAGGCTGGCTCCAGCCTATCACTGTTTCACTATGGCTTTGTAGTAATTCTTGATATCTGGCAGTATAGAATATCAAACTCTGTTTTTTTTAATTGTTGTTTACTTTAGGGGTACATGCTTCAAATTCACAATCAATATAAATCTACATTTATTTAGGTCTTTTTGTTTTCTTATATCAATTTTTGGTTTTCAATAAACTGACACTGCATATATTTTATTAAATGTATATGTAACTGATAGGTTTTTTTGTGCTATTATAAATCTTTCATAAATTCCTTTTAAAAAGGGGAGCAGCCATGACTGCAGGGGCCTTGAGTGCTGAGTTTCACCTAGGGAGGGGTACCAACAATGGAGTCCACCCCAGCAGCAGTGAGGCGGGCACTAACCCCCCCCAGTTCACTGCCACTGAAGTACTGCTGAACAGTTCTTCCCTCAAGCTGATGAGCCACTGCCGGAAAGGGAGCTGGCCTACAGCCTGCAATTGAAGCAGGAGCCACAGCCAGCGGTGAGCGTGGCAAGCGGGAGCCCTGAGCACCTCAAATCAAAATACAGATGCAGGGTTTTTTCTACATTTAAGACTGACAGTGGCCCAGCCTAAACAAGTGCTGTCTTCCAAATGTTTTGTAAAATTTTTCATATTTTCCTTACCATGAGAATTCCTTATAGTCATCAAGGTGAAGGAATTCTTGAACATGCTCATGGAATCCTCAAATTCAGCTATAAAAGCTATAAAAAGGGAGAATCAATTCTTCCCTACAAAATTTACACCTCATCATAGACTTCACCTGGCAGTATACACTATTTTTTTAACATTTATTTATTTATTGTGTGTGTGTGTGTGTGTGTGTGTGTGTGTGGCCAGCTCAGCCCACCAGGAGGCGGCGCTGGCTGGCATGTGGTG